GATAAAGAGGACAGAGAGGATAAGGAGGACAGAGAGGACAGAGAGGACAGGGAGGATAAGGAGGACAGGGGTGATAAAGAGGACAGGGAGGATAAGGAGGACAGAGAGGATAAGGAGGACAGAGAGGACAGGGAGGATAAAGAGGACAGAGAGGATAAAGAGGACAGAGAGGACAGGGAGGATAAGGAGGACAGGGGTGATAAAGAGGACAGGGAGGATAACGATGCCACCACCAACTTCTTGGTTCCTGTACAGAGTCCAGTACACTGGGCTCAAAGGTCAAAGGTCATCCTACCATAATAACCCTTTTAACAGGTCTAACAGGATCCTGAAGTCCTGCTGCTTCCGGTTTCTGCAGCTCCGGTTCAGAGGAGTCCCAGAGCCCGCCTGTGGACAGAGTTCAGTTCTACAGTCTGTGTCAGTAGGTGCGGGTCTTACCGAGCAGGGGGCGCAGAGGGGCTTCTCCTGCAGGAGCAGCACAGCAGAGATCCACCCAATACAGCCAGACCGGAGGCTGCCCAGCCCAGGTACAGACCAGAACCCAGCTCAAACCTGCAACAGGCCCAGACTCAGGGTTTAGATCCAGAACCACCCTCAGACACACACAGAGACCACAGCCTGCAGGGTACTGACCGGACTCCAACGTAGAGCGGGTCATAGAAGTCCTGGATGACCCTGGCGGCATACCACGAGACAGCAGTCAGAGTGAAGACACCTGGGGGGGACACACTCAGACCTGTTTTCTTTTTTCAAATATAATCTTCATTTCCCTTCAGAGGGAGGTTCCAGTACTGGTTCTGGTTTAAAGGGATGAGTCTGAGGAGCTCGTACCGGACAGGATGAACATGACTCCTCCGCTCAGAGCCATCTGACCCTTGACCTGCTCCGACGTCTTGCCGAGCTTTGTGCACTTGAGTCCGAGCACCGAGACCACGATGGAGGCGAGACCGAGCAGCAAAGACAGGATCATGAGAGCTCTGCAGAACTGCAGGTGAGCTGGAACACAAACATCATCAGTCTGAGAACTGAACCGGTTCTGAACAGAGTTTTTATCATGGAAAACTAAAGGTTTTGGTCTGAACCAGGTCTTGTGAGTCAGACCGCTCACCTGGAAGTCCCAGCACCGTCTTGAACTTGCTGCACTGAACCGACCCCATGGAGGTGGCAGCACAGCTCATCCACAGACCCTCAAACTGCCAGGAACTGGTGGTGACCGACTCGGCCTGACTCTTCACCTTCCAGGTTTGAGAGGAGGTACAGCTGGACTGCAGACACCAGGACACTATGCCCAGAACCAGACCCACAACCTGCAGGCCCATAACCATTCTGCCAGAGGTTCACACCTGGGAACACAACACAGTCAGAATATCCTAAACCTCTTCAGCAGCCGTCACCTTCTGAGGTGTCCCCCAGGGTTGGATCCTCAGTCCTCTAGAGTTTTAATATTCTAAAGATAAAGTGAAACTGAATTTTGGTCCTTTTTGGTTTCAGAACTAATATAAAAACATTGAAGCAAACTTTTTACAATTCTATTCAAAAATGTACCTGTTTTTTGTTGTTGTTGATCAACTTTGAAATACTGTACAGCCTGTAAATTATACATCAAACATCTCAGTCAGGAACAGTGAGCTCTGATTTTTGACAACGGAACATCAAACAGTGAAGATGAAGTTCACTAAAAAAGTCCCCCCAGACATCCATGGAGTGTTTCAAACCCAGTCCTGTTTGGATCTACAGCAGACTTCATTCTGAGTTTAAACACGCCACACAAAGATGGACTTTCCACGACTGAGCTGTTTTCACATCTTTAACACAAGTTAACATGGAGGACTTTCCTGTTTTGATCAAGGAATGTTCTGAATGTTTGGATATTTTTTACAAACTTTGCATTTCCATAATTTTTCCTCTTCAGTTTCTCCTCCATCCTTCAGTCTTTCTGTCTTTGTCCTCCCAGTGTGTCTCTCTGCTGGAGGACTGATGGGTTCCTCCTTGAGGTCAAAGGTCACACACCCAAACTCCCATTGACTTCCATTTTATTTGAGCTGTTTTCTCTTCAAAGAGGAAGTGAAGTCACTTTTTTAACTTTTATCTTCTCCATAAAACCCTGTAGAACCATCAAACAGGACCTGAATGTCCTGCTGCTCACAGGCCAAGAAGATATTTGATCAAACTTCTAGTTTTCACACAGAGACTGCTTGTCTGACGCTTACTTTTTACTTTGTGTTTCTGCCTGAAGTGAAGCTGGTTGCTGCCCTCCTATTTGGCGCCCCCAGAAAAGGCGGGAATCACCATGACAACCAGTGCATTAGCAGAATCTGGGTCTCTATATTACCCAGCATGCTTTTTTCCTCTTATGTTTCTATCATGGTCGCCTTTGATGTTCAGGAGTCAGAGGGTCCGCAGGAAACAAGAGGTTTGGACTTGGAGTTTCAAAATAAGAGTCTGACAGTCACAGTTGGGCTTTAGGGAAGTGTTGTTATTTTTCTTATAACATTTAAAGATAAATTGTTTCTCTTTGACTTGCTGTCTCATGATTTATTCAATTTATCAGAAGTTTTTAAGAACCAAAACTTTTTTTATGATGCATGACTTTAACAAATGAGCTCAACAGAACTGACGGGTCTGGGTTTTAACTGATTCTGGTCTTTTCAGTTTAAGACTTCAGACATTTAAAATCCGTTCTGATAAAGATTTTTGGGGTCCGCTCCGCTGCAGACCTCAGATCCTGACTTCCATCTAAAGTCCACCTGATGAAACCTTCTCCTCATGACTCCACACAAGTCCTACAGCAGCCTGAAGTGTTCTACAGAACCGACCCGTGGGTCATTTCTTACCTTCTGCTGAGATTCACAGGTTTCTGGTGGATCGGTGTGTCAGAAGTGAAGGGTTTCTGTTTGAACCAGATCTGATCCGAGGGCTGATGGTGTCCGAGGTCGATGAACTCTGGTCGATGAGCCTCCACGCACCGGTTTCGACGGTCAATATTCACCTCCAGTTAGGAGCTGGAGGGGAAACTGCACCAGTGCGAGATCATGAAAAGATGAAAATAGGGTCTTCAGAGAAAACTTGGTGAGGAACCTTCAGGGATGTTTCAGAGGACAGAGTTTAGGACGGAGACAGGCGTCCTGTTGTCCCTGACAATTCGTGGACTTCAGACTGTTTATCAGTCCATGTTTACTCTCCTCTGGTTGGTTCTGCAGGAGAACCAGACCTCGTGTTCCAACAAACAGAAACATGATGCTGACTGACGCCAGGGATGGTTTCTGCCAACTGGTTTTAATAAAGATCGGGCTTTCTTGGACTGTGAGGTCTCACTCTCTGAAGGAGGACCTTTGCAAACTGAACTGTTCTGCGAACGCACCCACACGGACCAGTATTTGAGGTTTGACTCCCATCACCCCCTGGAGTCATCAGGACTCTGTACCACAGAGCAGACAGCGTCCCCACTAACTCAGGAGCCAGGCAGAAGGAGACAACCCACACAAGACGGGCTCTGGAGCCAGGGTATTCAATTAAAACTCGCTAAGGTCCAGTTATTAAAATTTCCTCCTAAAGATCCGAACGAAAGTCCAACATTTGTCGTTTATGGTCTTGCCTTATCCATATTCACATTTTCACTGTAAACAAACTGCACTCTAGTAAACAACCAGCTCTGTTACCGTATTTAAAAGTAGCCCCAGACACTTAGTGCCCTGAGACGACTTCTGTTGTGGATCGGTGCTATATAAATAAACAGAAATGAATTGAAATAAATTCAGGGCCTTTATTTCAGATTAAAACAGGAAGCTCAGAATAAAATACATCTTAAATGTGCAGAGCCTTTTTCTCTTAAACTGAAGAGGTCCCAGCAGGGCTTAATTTGTCAGCTGATGGATGCCAGAACAGTGGTCAGGCCTGGGGGGTCTGTGGACCCTCCCACAGAACATTTTGAGTAACAGATGCCACTCCCTGCATTCTGGTGTATTTTAACAGGTTGTCAAACATCTACATTAACCTACAGCAGCAGGTTGAGTGTGAATAGACCAGCTCCGATTCTGTCAAGTGTCCTAACCCCACCCCCATACACCCTCCCCTCACTTCACAGCTCTGAGCCGAGTTCTTCTCAATTTGTTGCTCTTGCTCCAGTCTCTTGGCTGCAGTTTGAAGCTCAAAGCTCCAGCTCCTCCACAGGGGTTCCAGAAGACCGAGGTCTGGAGACCGGCTCTGATGCTCCAGGACCTTCATGTATTTCTTTTTTAGCTGCTCATTCGTGGCCCTGGACAGATGCTTTGGGTCATTGTCCAACAGAGAGACCTATCTTCAGGGTTCTGCCAGAGATAAGAAGGTTCTGGTTCAGGGTTTTCATTCATTGGTTCCTCAGTGAAGTCGTCCTTCAACCCCGAGACCCAAACCATGCTGCTTCTACCTCCATGCATCTCTGTGGAGATGATCATTTAGATGTTCTGTGGAGAACCTTAGATGGGTTTGTATTTGGACCTTCTTCTACAGAACCTTCAGTCCATCACAGTGATGATGGTTGTCATCAGACTTCAGATGGTTAGTGCTGATGCATGCTGGGAAATCTGTGTAAAAGCCACATCCAGCTCGTCTCTTCAGTGACAAACGGTCAGCTTCACCAAATCAAAACAGGAACGTTTTATTTTAAGAGTTTATTTGAAGAAAACTAACATAAATAAAAAGATCAAAGAGTTTTTGTCCAACCAGGGGGGAATTTTAGAAAGTTCTTCCTCGTGTTCATCACTTTTTGGATGAAACTGGTTCCTGCCTGGTGGACCTGAAACCAGTCAGAGTCCTGAATCACTGAGTATCTCTGTGGTTTCCGTAGATTAGATTTGGTGTAACTGGACCCGCTGTTCTGGGTAAACTGGATCTTTAGCTGATGATTGGTTCTAATCAAAGAATCTGTGTCTACAGGAAGTGGAAGAACCGAGAGCAGGAGCAGAAACTTGATCAGTCATTTCTTTTCTTCCATCGCTCCGCTCTGCGTTTCTGTACATTTTATACAACTTTACAATCTGTGCTTCCCACAGTCCTCGGGTTCTGGGTCCTACACCGAGCCGCCTCGGCCGCCGCCTCCTCGGGTTCTCAGCTCGTGCCAGATTTTGACGAACGCTTCTCGGTTCTTCCAAATCAACTCGTGACCAAACAGGATGTACCATCTGAGGAGAGAAGAAACATCTGATCAAAACCAAAACCTCTGCAGCGCTGCTGGTTCATTGGACCCGACAGTGCCCCCTGAGGGCCAGGCTGGGAATTACAACTGACGTCTCCAAAAACTTCCAAACTGCAAAAACAAAGGAACTCAACACATCAGCTGTTCAAACCATTTGAGGAAACATCTGGTCATTTATAATCTGAAGTCAGAAACACATCTGTTTAAAGTTGTTCCAGCAACAACAAAATATTAAAATGTCCGAGGTCCGATTCAGAACCAGCTGGAGGAGCATTTAGTATCTGATGAGGTTCATTATCAACAGGTCAGTTATAACAGAAATGTTTTATTAACGTTAAAGCTTCATAAAGTTACGAAGCAGCTGCTGAAACAGAGAAACTCACATCCCAAACATGGCTCCTCCTAAATGAGCAGCGTGGTCGAAAAACCTCCATCCCAGCACCAGACCCGCGGTATCCATGGCAACGATGGCCTTCAGAGCCTGCAGAGACAGGAGACGGGTGAGAGAGGACGAGGAGGACCGTAACGGACAGGTGAGGAGGTGGGCGGAGCCTTACGTTGGCAGCAGTGAAGGTGAACATGGGGAGGAAGATGATGGCCAGCTTGGTTTCAGGGATTTTGGTGCAAACAGCAGCCAGGATGGTCATGATGGCACCGGACTGGAACCAGAACCACAAACAGACACCAACAGATCTGAGTCCAGAACTCACACAGAGAAGAACAGAGGGGACACGTTTCTGAGTCCAGAGGAGACACGTTTCTGAGTCCAGAGGGGACACGTTTCTGAGTCCAGAGGGG